CAACTACACGCAAACCATAGATACTACACCTGAACCATAGAAACTACACTGAAACCATAGAAACTACACTGAAAACATAGAAACTACACCTGAACCATATAAACTACACCTGAACCATAGCAACTACACACAAACTATAGATACTACACCTGAACCATAGAAACTACACTGAAACCAAAGAAACTACATGAAAAACATAGCAACTACACAACAAACCATATATACTACACCTGAACCATATAAACTACACTGAAACCATAAAAACTACACCGAAAATATAGAAACTACACCTGAACCACAGAAACTACACCGAAAACATAGAAACCATACTGGAACCATAGCAACTATAGGCAAACCACAGAAACTACACCGAACCATAGAAACTACACTGAAACCATACAAACTACACCGAAAACATAGAAACTACACCTGAACCATATAAACTATACCTGGACTAATACTTTTTTTGTCTATATCCCTTTTCTAGGGTGGCACAGTGGTGCAGTTGGTAGAACTGTTGCCTCTCAGCAAAAAGGTTGTCATCTTAAATCTTGTCCGGGGATCTTTCTGAGTGGAGATTGCATGTTCTCTCTGTGCATGTGTGGGTTTTCTCCAGGTACTCCAGTTTCCTCCCACAAAACAAAAACATGCATGTTAGACTGACTGGTAATTCTAAATTGTCTCTAGGAGTCTCATTTGTCTCTATGTGTCCCTGTGATGGAATGGAGTCCAGACCAGTCCAGCCCCCCCCCCCCCCCCCCCACCAACACACACACACCTTCCCACAGTGACTGGTGGATATGGGCACCAGTGACCCCCGCGACCTAAAAAGGAAGAAGTGGGTAAAGATGACTGATTGATGGATTTCTTTTCTGTCCATTCAGAGCCAGTCGAGGCAGATGGCTGTTCTTCCCAAGTCCAGTTCTGGTTCTGCTAGATGTTTCTTACTGTTCAAAGGGAGTCGTTTCTTTCCACTGTCACCAATGTGGTGCTCAGGATGGGAGAACATGTTAAGATTTAATGCAGACTGCTGGTTTCCTTAGGTAGATAACATTTATTAACTGGTATTTTGTGTTGAATGTGTTGGAATTCATTTAAAGTGACTGTAGTTTTATTTGTTTATGGATCTGTTTTGAATTTAGATATAGGATGTGATGTTTTGCTGTAAAGAGCCGTGGGATTACAGTTGTTGAAAACTGGTGATATTTAAACAAACTAAATTGTATTAAATAAAACATAGAAAAGTGAACATGCTCTGACAACTTGCTGAGCCTGTTGTATATGTTTATAGGTTTGTGTTGTTCATGCTTGTTGGCACTTTGTTGCTGTGTGTTTTCTCACCGCTGTGGTCAATGTCGTCCGTATCGCTGTCCACAGAGTCCTCGTCATTGTTGGGATTGCTGCGGGTTATGATGAGGTCACTAGGTCCTGCCATGTCAGCTTCCCCTGCAGGAGGAAGTTAGTGAGCTGGTTACAACACTAAGACCTGCAGCAGGAGGAACGCTGCATTCAGAGTTTACCTGGAGAAGGGGTCATGCTTACAGCCCCCAGGTCCTTCCTGAGACGCTCCATCTGCTCCAGCTGCTTCCTGCTCTGAGCCTCTGCCTGAAGAACAGGAAGTCACATGTGAGGAACACACTCTGAAGCAAGTTCGGCATAGCTGGGCTTCCTTACTTTAGCCTGGCTTGATCAAACCTAAACCTGTTCTGCGATAAAATGGGACTACTGGAACGAGCTGATCCAGTTCATTATGTTGCTGCAGACAAATCTTCTGATCTGGGATTTATTAAGACCAGAATCACTGAACACTGAAGCTTTTACTGACAGTTTAGGTCAAAGCTGAACTCCAAATGTTCTAAAGCAGGTGATGAGTTCAGCCTCTGTTTTCCACAGTTTGTTTTAAGACAGAAATCTAAAAAGTTAAATCTGGCCCTTTGGACATTCAAAAAACAAAACAAAGCAAAAAAAAAAAAAAAAATATTATTTTTTTTTTTTTAATGTAGAAACGTTTCGTCTTTCATCCGAAAGACTTCCTCAGTCTGAGGTGCTGTATTCAGCTCAGTCTTATAAATAGCACCTTCTCAGAGTGGATCAACCAGTTTTGCTGCTGACAACCAAAACCAGCTGCTCACATGATCAAGAAGGACCATTGGCCCAACGATGGATCGTTAGCACACTGATGGCTGTTTACTATTCACAGGGGGCTGAGTGATACTAGCAATAACAGCATTGTAAAATGGAGACAGTTAAACACGGAGGCCTCCACCCCTGTTTAATGATAGATGATTTCTTTACACAAAGATGGCCTCCTTTACTAATCTTTGGAGCTGTCCATCTTTGTGAAAAGAAATCATCCATCCATCCATCATTAAACAGGGGTGGAGGCCTCCGTGTTCAACTGTCCCCCTCTTACAATGCTGTTATTGCTAGTATCACTCAGCCCCCTGTGAATAGTAAACAGCCATCAGGGTGCTAACAATCCATCGTTAGGCTGATGGTCATTCTTGACCATGTGAGCAGCTGGTTTTGGTTGTCAGCAGCAAACTGGTTGATCCACTCTGAGAAGGTGCTATTTATAAGACTGCGCTGAATACAGCACCTCAGACTGAGGAAGTCTTTCGGATGAAAGACAAAACGTTTCTACATTTTTTTTTGTTGTTGTTGTTGTTGCTTTGTTTTGTTTTTTGAATGTCCAGAGGACCAGATTGAACTTTTTCAGTTTTTTCTACCTGGATTATTCAGCATGCATCAGGATATTTAAGACAGAAAGTTTGCTTCGTAGTACAACCCTCAGATAAACAGACATAAATAACCAAATAAATGTACAAACAAACAAAGCTCACCAGCTGCCTGCGGAGTCGTTCATATTCAGGCCGGTAGTCCCTGAGGAGACAACATGTTCAGTTACTGACGTTTCTTGACCTCTGCCCTTAAGTTTTACATGCCCATGGAGTGATGACACTCCGATCAACTCATTGATCAGCTGACACAACTTACCTCTCATACTCTTTGGCGGCATCTTCCACCTGAACGAACAGCTGATCCAGTCCACTTCCTGTCACAGCAGACACGCCCACCACCTACAGACAGAGTCAGAATAACTTTAAAAGGTTTAAAACAGACGAGACCAGGTTAAGTTTCCTCTGTGAAACGTCTCGTATTCTTCTAACAACAGTCTGCAAACATCCAGGACCTGAGGAGAAAAGTTGTTGGGAGGTTTTGGAGGGAATGTTGTGCCATTCTGGTCTGATGGAGGATTCTAGCTGGCTAACAGTTCTGGGTCTGGGTTCTGGGTATTTGTTTTAGCTGGTAAGTGGTCTAACTGCACTCAGGCCAGTTCACCACCCAGACTCTTTTATGTAGCCATGCAGTTGTAAGGATGCTGTTTGTGTCTTGCTGAAATATGCAAGACCTTCCCTAAAAAAAGGCCTCTGAATAGAAACAGATTGCCAAGCACCTGACAAGGCATTAAAGGCTAGTCTTCATAAAGTATTTATACATGGAGTACAGTGCCTTGCGAAAGTATTCAGCTCCCTTTAACTTTTCAACCTTTTGCCACATTTCAGGCTTCAAACAAAGATATAAAATGTTATTTTTTTGTGAAGAATCAACAACAAGTGGGACACAATCGTGAAGTGGAATTAAATTTATTGGATGTGTCAAACTTTTTTAACAAATAAAAAACTGAAAAGTTGGGCGTGCAATATTTTTCGGCCCCCTTGGGTTAAGACTTTATAGCGCCGCCTTTTGCTGCAATTACAGCTGCAAGTCTCTTGGGGTATGTCTTTATCAGTTTTGCACATGGAGAGACTGAAATTCTTGCCCATTCTTCCTTGCAAAACAGTTCGAACTCAATGAGGTTGGATGGAGAGCGTTTGTGAACAGCAGTTTTCAGCTCTTTCCACAGATTCTCGATTGGATTCAGGTCTGGACTTTGACTTGGCCATTCCAACACCTGGATATGTTTATTTGTGAACCATTCCATTGTAGATTTGGCTTTATGTGTTGGATCATTGTCTTGTTGGAAGATAAATCTCCCAGTCTCAGGTCTCTTGCAGACTCAAACAAGTTTTCTTCCAGAATGGTCCTGTATTTGGCCCCATCCATCTTCCCATCAATTCTGACCATCTTCCCTGTCCCTGCTGACGAAAAGCAGGCCCAAACCATGATGCTGCCACCACCATGTTTGACAGTGGGTATGGTGTGTCCAGGGTGATGAGCTGTGTTGCTTTTACGCCAAACAGTTCGATTTTGGTTTCATCTGACCAGAGCATCTTCTTCCACATGTTTGGTGTGTCTCCCAGGTGGCTTGTGGCAAACTTTAAACAACACTTTTTATGGATATCTCTGAGAAATGGCTTTCTTCTCGCCACTCTTCCATAAACGTCAGATTTGTGCAGTGTACGACTGATTGCTGTCCTATGGACAGACTCTCCCACCTCAGCTGTAGATCTCTGCAGTTCATCCAGAGTGATCATGGGCCTCTTGGCTGCATTTCTGATTGATGACACCATCGACCATGAGATCCTCATTGCTAGGTTGGAGCAGTGGGTGGGCATCACAGGATCAGCCCTCAACTGGTTCAGATCTTACCTCACTGACAGATCCTTTTGTGTCTCCATTAAGGATTTTAGTTCTGCAGCAGCAGAGCTTAAATGGGGGGTTCCGCAGGGGTCCATCCTGGGTCCCCTCCTATTCTCTTTATACCTGCTGCCACTTGGTGCTATTCTCCGGAAACACAACATACCCTTTCATTTCTGCGCTGATGACTGTCAAATTTACTTCCCCCTAAGACACATTGGTACATGCTCTATTCAACCTCTGCTCGACTGCCTGGCTGACATCAGGGACTGGATGGCTTTAAATTTCTTAAGTTTCAATGAAAAGAAATCTGAAGTCATGTTATTCCCTCCCAACGACACGATCACAAACCACTGCATCGACCTCTCCGCTCTAACCCTGTCAGAAAAACAAAGAGTCACTAATCTGGGAGTGATAATGGACCCTTCCCTGAAACTTAACAATCATGTAAACATGATTGTTAAATCATTTTTCTTCCAACTGAGGCGGCTGTCTAAACTGAAGCCCATATTGTCCAAAAATAACCTGGAGACAGTAATTCATGCATTCATTACATCTAGGCTTGATTACTGCAATTTAGTCCTGTTTGGTATCAGTCAGACCCCCATTGCACAACTACAACTGGTCCAGAATGCAGCAGCCCGATTTTTAACCAGTACAGGCAAAAGAGAGCACATTACACCAGTTTTGGCCTCACTGCATTGGCTACCGGTTCACCTTCAAATCCAGTTCAAAATACTACTGTATGTCTACAAATCACTGAACAGTTTCGCCCCCCCCCTCCCCCCCATCTCTCTGATCTGCTACAGCCATATGTCCCACCACGCCCCCTGAGGTCAGCGGACCAGCTGCTCCTCACAGTTCCAGGAACTCGTATTAAGTGCAGAGGTGACAGGGCCTTCTCTGTAGCAGGACCAAGACTTTGGAACAAGTTACCTCTGCTTGTCAGACTGGCCCCCTCCCTCTCGGTTTTCAAGTCCCGTTTAAAAACCCACTACTATTCAATAGCTTTCAACACCAGATGATCTGTGTTTTGAACCTGTATGCTCCACACTGGTTAGTCGTCATTATCTGCATCGTTTTTATGTCTATATTCTGATTTACTTAATTTTGTATATTGCTTTGTGTGTTACCTGTTCTGTCAGTACAGCACTTTGGTTGGCCTTGTCGCTGTTTTAAGTGCTCTATAAATAAAATGGTATGGTATGATATCAGTCGTCTCCTTGTTTGAGATGAAAGTTTAGAGGGATGGCCGGGTCTTGGTAGATTTGCAGTGGTCTGATACTCCTTCCATTTCAATAGGATTGCTTGCACAGTGCTCCTTGGGATGTTTAAAGCTTGGGAGATCTTGTTGTATCCAAATCCGGCTTTAAACTTCTCCACAACAGTATCTGCCTGTTGTGTTCCTTTGTCTTCATGATGCTCTCTGTGCTTTGAACAGAACCCTGAAGCTGTCACAGAGCAGGTGCATTTATACAGAGACTTGATTACACACAGGTGGATTCTACTTATCATCATCAGTCATTTGGGACAACATTGGATCATTCATAGATCCTCACTGAACTTCTGGAGTGAGTTTGCTTTCAGTTTTTTATTTGTTAAAAAAGTTTGACACATCCAATAAATTTCATTCCACTTCACGATTGTGTCCCACTTGTTGATTCTTCAAAAAAAACCTAAAATTTTATATTTTTATGTTTGAAGCCTGAAATGTGGCAAAAGGTTGAAAAGTTAAAGGGGGCCGAATACATTCGCAAGGGACTGTATATACATACATATGTATAGGTTAATCATTAACATATTCCTTACTACCTTGGGGCAGCTATGGCTGAGTGGTTACAGCAGTCGTCCTCCAATGCAAGAGTCGGGGGTTCGATTCCACTAGCACTCACATGTTGAAGTGTCCCTGGGCAAGACAATGAACCCCTCATAGCCTCTGATGTGTGTCCCATCGGTGTATGAATGTGATCTAAAGCTCTGATTAGTCTCTTTAGAATGATTTGTTCAATTAGCTTTGTAGAGATCTAGTAGAGTGCTGTATGAATAGGTAAATGAGGACACAGATTGTAGTGTAAAGCGATTTGAGTGTCTTGAAATAAGATAGAAAGGCGCTATACAAGTACAGTCCATTTACAGTCCATTTACCTTTTGCATATGAATATATGTCTTTTTCAAATGTGTGTATTCTGCTTCTGTTTGCATATATATATTTTTTATATTTATGCCTCAAAATTCCTAGAGGGAGGGAGGGAGGGATTGAGAATCCATCCATTCATACATACATACATACATTCATACATACATACATACATACATATCTATGCATCACAAACAAAGATGAATCCAGCTACAGGCAGGAAGTGTAACACCTGGAGAGCTGTTGACGGAAGAACAACTTTCATATCAATGTGAAGAAGACAAAGAAGATGGCTGTGGACTTCAGAAGGAACAAACCCCCCACCCCAACATAGGAGGATCTGCATTGGAAGTGGTCTCCAGGTACAAGTACTTGGGTGTACACCTGAATGACAACCTCAGCTGGGACAACACCACCACCACCCTGATCAAGAAAGCTCATCAGAGACTCTACTTCCTCAGGAGGCTGAGACAAGCTTGTCTGGGAAGCTCAGTCCTCACCTCCTTCTACAGGTGTGCAGTGGAGAGCATCCTGTGCTCCAGCATCAACATGTGGCATGGAGGCTGCACAGCTGCAGAAAGAAAAGCTTTGCAGCGAGTGGTGAAGGCTGCACAGAAGACTGTTGGAGTCAGTCTCCCCACCATCACAGACAACTACACCAGATGCAGGAAGAGAGCCACCTGCATCATGAAGGACCCCACTCACCCAGCACACACAATTTTTGCTCCGCTCCCCTCAGGAAGGAGGTTGAGGAGCATTGAGTGTAGAACCACTAGACTGAGGAACAGCTTCTACCATGAAGCTGTTAGACTCAAGAATCTCTGACCAGAAAAATTACTGTAATGACACTTTAATTGGTGATATGTGACTTTATCCATGCTGCTGATCTCTTGTAAAATGCTGTATTCATTCATACCCATCTGCTCACCACAGACTCATGTTCAAGCTGCTGTTAAACACACCATATTGTTTTACATTATTAGTGTTGACTGTATATCTTAAATCCTTAAGATACTGTTTCTTTTATATTCAAAAACGTTCAATACAAAAACAACTGGACTTTACTTGTAACAGAAGACGTTTCGCTCCTCATCCAAGGATCTTTCTCAGTTCAAAGAGCAGTGAGTAAGGGATTCAGGTTATAAGGCTGAGTGAGATAAGACACACACACATACGTAGATTAGCAGTTCACACCTAAACACCTTAACAGTATGTCTTTGTTCATCTAATTCACAGATGAGGCCCCTCTGTTCCCATCAGGTATGAAAACCGGCTGGGAATCCGTTTTAAAGTTGCATTATATGTTTTTGAAAGTGGAAATCTGAGGCCTCCTCCTCTGTTAAGAGACGGCTTTTCTCTTTT